TATTGACAAAGAGTCAATACGCAATTGGCTCAAAAAATAGTCAATAAGTGATGACAGTTTAGTCTTTATAGTGAACAATATTGTACATGGTTACAAAGGAAATACTACATATTATTGCTGCTTAAAAACAACGTAAGCAAAGGACAAAATGTCAATTATGGAGAGAAAAAAGTAAATACGAGTCTGAGAGAGTTCTAACGTGCCTTTGCTCCTTGACTCCGGCCTTCCTGCCATTCCACAACTTCTTTTGCTTTGTTCTTCACGACTCCTTCGTTTTTGGCCCGTCCCGTTTATTTTTTGTAAAAAAAAATGACGGAGGGACGGGCATGTAGTATGATGCATGCTGTGCGTCCGTCCGTCCGAGGACTTCCCGTGGTCCGATCTTGACCAAATTTGGTATGCAGCCTCCTTGGGTGATCCTAAGAACCGCCCGGTGGCAGCAAATCCGATCCGAGCCCCGGGGGCACTGCTGCAGGTGCATCATGGTCTACATGGGGTCGAGGAGGATTTCGGCAACGGATACAGCTAAGAGGGCATGTAGGGGTATTTTTGGAATCAGGGCGACAAGACAAAACCAACGGTGCCAGTTTCAAGCGAATCGGAGAAGTTTGGACCCGGGTTCAAATCCCAGTAGGGTATATTTTGGACATTCTTTTTATTCAAATTTTTGCATTGTTTCTGATGTTTTTGAGGGCGCTGATGACGAAAATAACATTTATTTTGACCCCAGACTCAGGTTCAAATCCCGTCAGGGTTAAACAAAGGCGAAATTTGCACATTCCCTGATAACGGGACGGGCCAAAGTTGCCGATGTATACCGCCACTTTTCCTGTTATTGAACTTTGATCTTCTTATTGTCTTTTTATGTCTATTATTGGAACCTTCTTCTCCTACGGTTCTTGCCTTTGATTTTGCACCATAACTTTAGCGTGCGTCTATTTCAAACACTTCCTGTAACTTTCAAACGTTGGCCATTCTGCTTTCTCTTCTTGACGCCCGTACGCCCGGTCGCCATCTCTGTCCTTTCTCTGATCACATCACATTCGTGATTACTTCACTCGTGTAAATTTTTTCAGAGTTTCAGCTATCAGAACCAGAATTCTGACATCATCCTGATCAAAATTCGCGCACCTCTGATAGCTGAGTTTCTGAAAGCATGGTCTGATATGTCTGAAAGCCCGGATTCTGAAAGGTCTCTCACATCCTGATATCTGATAGTATTACAGATCTGACATAGTCTGACATCTTATTTTTCCCAGAAGCCAATAGCTGTTCAGGCAGTCCTGATCCCCTGCATCTCTGGAAGGTGGGCCTCAGACACAGCACGAGTGGTTGACGGGCTGGCCTAGGCAGCAGTATGCAGACGGACGTCAAGGTGACAGCCTATCAGCGGCGCTCGGTCGGTAAGTGTCCATGCTATTGTTCTGAGAGGAGCTTCTCTCGGAATGCTGTCAGAGCCCAATGAGATTTCCAGATGTGAGACTTCAAATTTCAGCTGTCATGTTTTCATGTTGGACTGTGCTTTGAGAAAGTGAGCCATCAGAGGTGCGCGAATTTCGATCAGAATGTCAGCAGCTCAGATGTCAGATTTGAGACTTTTCAGATTATTACATTTCAGATCTGAAATGTGACAATCTGAAAACTGTCAGAATGAGAATCGAGACTTTTCAGATTATCACATTTCAGATCTGAAAAGTCTCAAATCTGACCGAGCGCCGCTGATAGGCTGTCACCTTGACGTCCGCCTGCATACTGCTGCCTAGGCAAGCCCGTCAACCACTCGTGCTGTGTCTCAGGCCCACCTTCCAGAGGTGCGGGGAATCAGGACTGCCTGAACAGCTGCTGAATCAGAAAAATACATAAAAAAATAAGACCATTTCTCACTTTCCAAACAATCAATCAATCACGAAACCCCTCTACCAGAAAGTAAGAGTTCTTATGGGGCACTGAGTGGTGCCACGGGAAATAACCCAACAAATCAGTTGCAAGGAATTGAAAAAAACAAACTATTCTGTTACCAGTGATTTATTTTCACTTCAATGACAAATAATTTTAAATTTTTTTTGCTAAATATAAGCAAATTACGTCAAGAGAAAAAAAAAACGATTTCAATCTTGGGAACTAGCAAAGTTTAAAAAAATTTAAATTTTGGGCACAATTTTTGTGCTTTATTTGGGCTGCTGACGTTTCTGTAACAAAAAGTCAATTCAAAAAGTACACTGCAAATGCAAAGGCGATACTTGATTCATTTTTCGGCGATACTATTGAGTATCCCCAAATAAACGGCCTTACGGCAAAGTATTCCCTTTCTGAACGGCGATACACAGAAGTAGGACCAAAATTCGGCGATACTTTTTGGTATCGCCAAAACCACGGCATTGAACTAGGAACTTGCCCCCTTTGTTTTGTTTAACGTTTATTGCCCAATTGTGGCAATACTCCGACGTATCGCCACATTTTGGCGATACGTTTGTGTATCCCCGTTTTGAAGGCAATACTTTTTCGTAAGGCTGTTTATTGGCGATACTTAATTGTATCGCCAAAAAAGGTACCAAAAGTATTCCCTTTTGGATTCACAGTGTAAAAATTAAACCCTGAAGTACTCTAATACTTATATCTATGAAAGAAAATTCTTGGTAAATTCATAGTTACATACCACAGCCTGAGCATCACTGGAAAATTTCACACCAATTGCTTTCTCGCACTGCCGCAAGGATTGCGTTAGTTGCGCATTGTCCTTGTCACCAAAATTTTATCATGTGTGCTTTACGCAAGTTAGAAGAGAAAACAAATGTGGTGAATATAAAATAAGGAAACATTAAGTTTGAAAACGATACTTTTAGCTGGAAAATTAAAACAAATGTTCCCCTTTTTCCCTTTTTTGGATTAACATTGAAGGTGTAGCAGGAGGAGCAACTGGTTCATCATCCCTGTGCGAAAAAACCACAGTAAATCCTGTAGTGATTAGTACAGCTGTCACTGTAGTTCAGAGTACAGGATTTACTGTACTTTTTTGGCGAGCGATAGCGAGCCCTTGCCGTGTTTGGGCGCTCCAAAAAGTGACTGGTCGTGCGTCTGTCCCTCTGTGAGTCTGTAGCGTACACGCTCACGTTTCTCAGCAACTACAACACTAATATTTTCCCAAATTTTGCACTGAACATCCCCAAAGCCCCCACGGGGGGATTTTATCTTATATTCACGATTACTACCGTTTGAAATATTCAAAACATCTTTTGAATTAGGTTTTTGGGTGGTTAGGTTGGCAGCACAATTTTTCATACTTGCGGCCGCGGCTCTCAAATACGGGCTGGCGGCTGGCAAAACATTGGCAAGTAAAACAAAATAGAGAGCAGAAGGGCTTAGAAGTGAGTTCGGTCACAGTTTTTCGGTATTCTAGAATTATTGAAACCCCTCCGGAGTGTCAACACAGTGAAATACGGAAAATGAAAGTGAAAATTTATTACGCGTTTCATCCGTCCGTCCCCCCCCTCCCCCCCCCCGCTACAGGGGAAAGTTTTAGTCAGTTTTTGATAATTGCAAGAATGATTTGGTCTTTGTAAGCTTTGAGCAGCTTTCAGAGTGTATTTCCTTTTTTATTCTGAGACTTTATATTTTTTAGTTGTTTGTTTTGCTCAATAACAGTTAGAAATAGATTAATACAATCTAAAAGTACAAACCAGACAAATCTTGCCAGAAAAAATAGTCTTTGCTGACTTTTGGGCACTGACTCGGGGAAAAGGCTTCATTGCAATGCTGTAAGTTTACTATAGTACTAACCTTAAAAATAACTATATGGTGAGTGAGTGTAGCGCATACAAGGTTTGACATTGACATCTGATTCAATAAGACGATTCAGTGATTTGGTCATATGATTTCATGAGACGATTCAGTGACTTGGTCATATGATTTCATGAGACGATTTTTTCTTCATCATTATTGTCTGCGACAACCGGGAATTTTTGTCGGTCATGGGTTTTGGGTTTTTAATTTATAATGTTAGGTAAATACTTATGCTATCTGTTTCAAAAAATTTAAAAATCCATCATGACTATCATTTTTAATAAGATTTAAATTGCATTTAGCAATAAGGGGCTCGACATTGGATTCCATGAAACGATTCATTGGATCTGACAGAAGGTCTTCTCCGTAAAGTAGTTGCAATCAGCCTGCCTGTAAATGGTCTCTTTCTAATTAATTGAGATAAATCAACATAGTTTTATCCACTAGTTTAAAATATAAGGGAGATAAAAGGCTTTTAGGTATTTTAATAACATTGCGTGTCATAAGTTTAATAACGAGGAGATATCGAATGGTAATTGAAGCATTTGTGAATCGCACTAAGCAAATTTAATGCTGACTGTTGCATGCTACTCGACTGAGTAACAGTGTCGGGTTCATGTTACGACACCATGGGAAAGGGAAAAACACTTAGAAATTGCGTTCATGTTAACAACTGCAGACCCATACTTTCAACTAGAATTATATGATTTTGGACCAAAATTTCCCCAGTGAGTCAGTCATTGTTTCCTGCAGTTTTTGGTGTGCTGATCACGAAAATGACATCCAATTTCATCCCAGACCTTTACTTTTCCCAAAATTTACCAATTTCGGACCAAAATTTTTAAGTTGAGTTTTACATAGTTTCCTGCAGTTTTTTGTGTGCTGATCACGAAAATGACATCCAATTTTATCCCAGACCTTTACTTTTCCCAAATTTACCAATTTCGGACCAAAAATTTTTAAGTTGAGTTTACATAGTTTCCTGCAGTTTTGGTGTGCTGATCACGAAAAAGACTCCTTTCATCCCAGACTTTTACTTTTCCAAAATTTACCAATTTTGGACCAAAATTTTGAAGTTGAGTTTTTCATAGTTTCCTGCAGTTTTTGGTGTGCTGATCACGAAAATGACATCCAAGTTCATCCCAGACCTTCACTTTTCCCGAAATTTACCAATTTGTGACCAAAATTTCAAGGTTGAGTTTCCCATTATTTCCTGCAGTTTTCAGTATGATAATCACGAAAATGACATGAATTCCGGCCATTTCGTTACGGAAGACACTGTATTGTCCTTATTCTGCACATATTCTTCGCCATCTCCTATAAGAATGTGTTCAGACGCATCGCTCGCCTACTGCGCGCCCAAACTAAACGGCGCGTACCCCTAGTTTACAGGATCTACTGTACTTTCTACGGTCTGAAGCCAAATTATGAGTAACTCCACCTGAAGTGGACCGAGATCTGGGATTGGGTCACGGATTCGGTTCAAAATTTGTGGGTTCAATAGATACCACTAGGACCTATCAACCCTAAAAGGAAAGTTGGCTAGCTCAAATAGAACCTGAGATATTTGTATTTTTCTAAATTTGACTAATTTAGCGTAAAAATGTCGCTTTCTGATTTCTTTGTACCGTAAACCGGGGTAACTTGAGACAGCAAGGGTAACTTGAGACACTTCTGCTTTTCCACCTTTTCGGAGCTGCCACCTGGCTCGGCACATTCGGAGGTCAAAACTGCCCCAGCACTTTTTTTCATACTTGTTTGGAAAGACGATTTAGCGTTTGCATGGCGGGCTAGGACCAAGCTGGTCAGTTCTATAACGATTTTTCAATTTTAGTAAATTTGACAATTTTAGAGAAATGTTACAAGTCTCCCTTGGTACTCGAAACACGTCTTGCTGAGACCCAAATAACCATAGTATCTTTCAACCCTATTATTTCAACATTGTAAATGCAGCATTGGTTTTGAGGGAAACCCATCATTCATCGGGTAATACTGACTTTCATCGAAAATGGTAACTGTGCGGGGTAACTTGAGACACCAAATTTCATTGAATTTGACAGAAGTTGAGTGGCGTAACTTGACACTGGCACCTCCATGTACTACAGGGTGGTTTTAAGTAACGGACCTCTCCGTTCTAAGATCAAAACCAAGCCGCATTTGATCGGGAATCACTTTTTTAGACAGTGTAGAGGGGCCCAAATAGATATGCAGCTTATAGTTGGAGTGTTTTCTCAACTACACACGGACCAGATGAGACATAATAAATATTGAAGTCTTGAAAGATGGGGAATTTAATTACCTTTCCAACGAGCTAAATGTCATTGAAATCGGACAACTTATAGCCCAAACCGTCGATTTTTTGAAGAAATACATCTGTAAAAATAGTTAAGGGATTTTGAGTAAATTTTAAAAATTGACTAAGACTATA